TGTTATGGATACCAGATAGTAGAGTACACAATACACATACCTATATAACTTTATATAAATACACCCATGACTGGAATATAAACATTCGTGCTCATCACACGAAGGAATGCCCCCAGCGGGACTCAAACCCGCGACCGCTGGTACACTAATTAGGGTCACTACCAACTGAGCCAAGTGAACCTTCACCTATATAATTTAACATGCAATATCTATATCGTTTTACAAAAGTACAATAAAAATAGAATATAAAAACAGCGTAGACTTAACCATAGGGTTCTATCTGGAACCTTTAAGTACGGAACCCTAGTAACGGTGTTCTCTAACAGATTTGTCTTAAGATTTCGAATTTCCGCATAGGTCCTACCATGTGAATCAGCACGTGACATTATGCATATGTCTCTCGTCTTGCCGTAACTATTGCAGAAGCGTTTTTGCATACCGGATGTTACACTTTTGTGTTACAATACTAAAAATTATCCATCTTCTGACCGAGTTCAGAAATAGTGAGAACTTTTGTCAGTTATTTTATGTTACGATATAAATTTGGCAATTATGGACCAATTTTCATGATGTTCCTTTTTGATATTATACGTGCTTTTTTGTGTGGAGATAGTTGGAGAGCTAGATAGTGGCATAGACTACTTTTTACTGCGGGACATTATCTAATTCCCACGGGAAATACACACGTTATAATACAATCCAAAAAAATAATTATGATCAGATAATTACTTGAAACTTGGCATTAATATATATTGGCATAATACTCTTCAAAAAAAATACGTGTTTTATTTAATTTTATTGAATTGCGTGTTCATTTTTCGAAATTCATTCTTTAAGGGGGTAAAATAGGGGATAAAAGTTTGTTTGAAACTACCTCTTTAATGCGAGCAGAGCCGCGGGTTCTGCTAGTCTATACATATAATAAAATTGTAACTAAGCCGAATCTGTACATTAAATATTTTTTGGAAAATCTTATTAAAATAGACATTATTATCGATAAATCGATAGAGGCTGAATCTATAGTTTTTAGAATTTTTGTATGAATGTCTGTCTGTCTGTCTTTCTGTTACCGCATCACGGAAAACCCACTGAAAGGATTTTGATGAAATTTGGTATGATGATAGCTGGTTATCCGGGTCAACATATAGGATACTTTTTCATGCGGGAAAATATCTCATCTCTGAGAAATCTATACTAAACGTTAAAACGTAACAAGGAACGAACACGAGCGGAGCGAGAGTGAGTTGCTAGTAACTTATAAATTCTTGGTCTAATTCAAATGTCACGTGTGCCTATTGTTGTTTAACATTATTATGTCAATGTTTTTTTAAATGCTTTAATATAACAATAGCATAAGCTTAATTGAAACAGCCATTAAAATAGATTCTGTTTTTCCTTTTTATTAAATAAATATGCTTCAAAATAAAGAATAACTATAATACAATTAAAAATTTAAGTTTCACTGAGATTATGAAGAATGCTATAATTATTATTAATCTTGGAACAATCATCATATTTTCTGAAAATATCAATTTTTGACTTTGCTGTGTCCATATAAACTTTCAATAATCATCGTTTTACAAACTACATTTATAATATAATTAACAAAAGTTTCAGCCAAATCAACTGAACAGTATTTTATAGCATTCTTTAAGTTATACGTCTTTTGGCGTGTTATGAAAAATGGATGCTGAGAGTGAGTTTTTTATGATACGACAGATTTAGAGTACAGTATGAAGTTAGTGGTTATTGACTACAGCGTGAAGTTAGTCGTTAAATCTCCATTTAGTATAGTGAGATGTCTATATTCAAGATATATATTCCGGTATTTCTATATACACCATACATGTTTTACATCGATAAATATAAAAAATATTACAAGCTTTGATTTAGTTTCACCTGTCTCGGTGTTTGTCTGTAATCAAATCTTACAACCTAAATTTGATCCCCTTCCAATTGTCCGATTGAGCTGAAATTTGGCTCACACGTTTGACTCTCATGACTGCACGATTTCCTAATGCTGCCATTTTTAATCCAATACGACGGACGGACGTTACAAAATGGCGATTTATTATTTCCATAGCTACCCATATGATATGGGTATCAAATAAAATGGCTTGATATGAGCGAAACATAATAAGCAAAGTGACGTCATAAAATTTAATATGGCGGATTGTTTATTTTGCACACCCTTGATATTGTATATCAAATGAAAGGGTTTGCTGAGAAAGACACGAAAAAAAGTAAGAAACATTAAAAAAAGTTAAAACATTTAAAAAAACCAAGCTTTTATTTAAATGCTCTAAAAAAACAAAGTAGTATGTATAACTTAGCACGTGCGTACATAAGTATACACAACGTTTTTCCAATAAAAGTTTCTTGTGTTTTTTTATTAAATTAACATAACTTTTTTTATTTATGAACCGCTTGAAATAAAGCCAATACTAAATGACATTAAGTTAAGCTTACCATAAAATACATTCGAGAAAACTGCATCCAAATCAGTTAAGCCGTTTCTGAGATTAGCGCGCTCAAACGCATAGACACACAGACAAAAATTCTAAAAATCATTGTTTTGGGTTCTATCGCGTTAATAAATGCCCTCCAATAATAGTTTTTCTCAAATATCTCCCATGTACAGACAGCGACCAGTTACAATTTATTATATGTATAGATATGGACATAGATTATTTTTCGTCACCTACGTTTGGCTCTTTCAAAACAATAACATGTCCAATACGAGCTCGCAGGCCAGTACACGAGCGCTAAACTAGATTCGATAATCTTCGGAAGTCGTTGGCGCGGCAGCGAGTGGCTGGCGAGCGTGGAGCTCACTGCTCGCTTGCTACTCTAGCGTGTTGTATGAATACAAGTTGACCGGGCGCGCAGCGCAATTTTTTTATAAGTTAATACATAATATATTGTAAAGTAATTCGTAACACTCGTAACCTGACTCAAACATAACTTTATCGACAACGTAGGTACGTAGACATACACGATCCAGGGGCGGGGGGCAGCTGCCCCCCCCCTGCCCCTACCTGGGTACATATTACATCAGTATCATATATTATCGTATAGTATCATATATTACCATATAGTATCATATATTACATCAGTAGGCAAAGTTTATTTAAATATCAGTCAAAATCTAAAATTCCTGTAAAAAATAATTGGTGAAGATATCGCATAAAAACACACACACAAAAATACATACCTTCTTTTTACAGTCGGTCAAAAATAGGAAACACTTTACATTTATGAAATTATATCGCTATTATATGAAAAGATATTATACAACTGCTATCCCACCTGCTAAGATTACCTTTAAGAAAGCAGTCCTTTACTTACCTTCAAATTAATTTAAATCTTAATGATATACACTTTACGGTCAATTTCGCAATATCTGCTTACAACCTGTTAATATATGATTATCTGAAACAAAGAAATTTGAACTTTAAATGATAGGTATAGAGTCTATTTTGCTATGTATAGTAATGTGATTTAAGTTATTTTATATTTAGTTAAAGTGATGTTTTGGAAAGCTAAAGCGAAAGTAGAGGTTGCTTGAAGTGTGACTGCACAGTCTTGATACTTATCTTGAATTATAATTTTGTCATCCTTTTTATCATTTTTTATCATATAATTTTTTATTTTATAATTAAAGAAAATTTATAATTTATCTAACATTCACTATATACGTACGTGTGATATATAAACTTAAATGAATAAATTATTATTTTTTCCTTTAAAAGTGTACAAAATGCTATTTCAAGATGATTTTTTATACGTATTTTTGATTCAAGTCATAGCATTTTCATAACTAGTTAGGACAAACATTTGTATAATATTTTTACTATTATGACAAATTTCTTATTTCTTGATTTCACCTCTTTTTAAGCTGCAAAAAATAAATCTTAATTTTTTTTCTAAACATATTTTTGTTCCGGCACATTAAATAGTTTCTGTGGGATAGACATACGAATAAAATCGAGACCGCTATTTCAAAATAATCCAATGCAAAATAATAAATAATGAATAAGTTGGTATAACAAATTCTAACTTGACAAATAATTTAACATGTGGTGTATATACTTAATGCTCAAGACCTATCAAAATTCAGAATCAATATTTAAAATGTAGGTATACTAGAATCCTATAATGTCAACAGCACGATCTGACGGCTAGGTACCACTTGTTAATTAGAAAATCCTAGGTTTCTTCACGGAAGTAGGTAAAAGCATGACTTTTTTTAATGTAATTTACTTAATAATTAATAAAAAAAATATGGTATTTTTTGTAATAAAGTTTTAATGAGTAATTAAATTAAATTAATTAAAAATTTAATTACCAAATTAAAACAAAAATACAGTTTTATTGACTAACCCATCACAATTTTAGCTTATTTTATGTCTAAAAAATAATTATTAAATACGAAAACGAATAAAATTTTTCGGCATATCTCATTATGATGCAAAGCTATAAAATAACAAAGGCATCTTATCATTTAATTACGAAATCTGACATCATTAATCTGTATTCAGTGCACATGCTATTAACATAAATAAATATATCTGTCCTAAACACGTAACTTAGTGAAAATGTTACTAACGAAAGTGAAAAACGCGTGACTCTCGCACGTAACGCTTACTTCCGAATACTGACTTCCCGCGTACAGACGTCTTGCACAGATTAAATAGAACATGTGAAAAAATTATCAAGCAAAGGTATACTGGTCTCAGCAAAGTACACAAAAATATTTAAATTAAACTAAAATTTAATTATTAATTAGCTCTTTAATAAAAATAAAATAAGAAGTGTGTAGAAAAATAAAATGAAACAAGTGCTAAAAAAATAAAATATCTAATTTCGATCAAATAAAAAAGTGCAACAAATAGTGCAAGTATAATAAATTATAAAAAGTATATAAAAAAATGGTAATCCATTTTTAGTCTATCATGTGCAAAAAGTGTTGAGAAATATCGATTATGACAACAAACGTGATGGCGGGAAAACTAAATTTCAAAGTCAGGAGACGATTAATAATATTTTTTTTAATTACGATAAATGTGACATTGTGTTCTGAAATCGAAAACGACGTATTGACTTTACAAGATAATTTGGATATAAGTGATGAAGTGTCAGATAGAAGAAGACCAGTGAACGGGCAGGAAAAGGAAATTCTGCTATTAGATGCTTTTGGGAGGCGGAAAGGGTACCAATCTAGCAGTTCACAGGAAGATGACTCTATTATGGATTTATTAGGCAAAAGTAAGTAGAGATATATAGATAAAATTTGTTTTTTTTAATTACATTTCTTGGCATCGATGCTTTGTTACGTAGTCTATTTCTATAGTTGTAAATTTTACTAAAAAAATACAAACAAAAAAAAGAAACAAAAAAAGAAGTAAAAAATTTATAGGTACACTAGTTTTAAAAATATTTAAAAGGTAGTTATTTTATCTAGAGCTGTTTTATTTCTAATCGAATGCGATTTTTTTTAAGTATTTATAATAAAGTATCAATACATCCAGGGGCACTGGGAGGTTGATTGAAATCCTTATTTAAATTTAAATATCTGTGAAAAAAAAAATTATAAATAAGATTTGAATAAAAATTATAAAGTTAGGGGCTATTGCACAAGCAGGTGCACACCCTGGAAATAAGTAATTTTGCATAGGCCCATGTTATACATCATCCGTCCATTCGGTCTTCCAGCTGTTACATCTATCCATTTAGATGAAACATCCAATCCATACACAGATAGACCATCATGACATGGAGCAATACATAACCTACCATTAAATTTTCCAAAAGATGTAATATATGAATGAGGTATGATCAGAATGGGTAAAATAATACTTTTTTACCTATCCTTATGTTGACACGTGAGTATCAACTAGAATTCATCCCATTTTGTTATCCCTGTTAAATATTCGAATATAAGTTAGCTATACCTAATAATAGAACTCATTGCATTATAAAAGAAATTTATATTATCGCCTTTATTAAAATTCCGAACGCATTCTGACTCGAACTCTCCTTTAGTAAGATCTATTGCTTACGTCTACGTTAAAGAGGTTATATAATACAAGACAAAACAGCTCAGTACCTTTTTCTCTTCTGTTTGTCAACTGATTTTCTTTTTGTTTCGTAGCTATTGACGAGCTTTAGTGTTGTCAATAAAAAAAAATTATGATCGAATTTCGACCACTCAGTCAATACTAGCATTAAATATACATATATATATATATTTATATATATATATATATATATATATATATATATATATATACTCGTACTTTCTATTCATTACAATATTTGTATACTTTTATTAATAGTGAAATTAAAGGTTCTTATGATATATTGACTAGCGATATACCCACGCCTCGGTCAGGTACATCCTTAGGTGCCTTTCGTATTTATACTATTATATACTAGTGACGCAACGAATGTTCGATTTTTCACATTCGCGAACGCGAATGCGAATATTCGTCTCCAATATTTCTGAATGCGAATGTCAATGCGAATTTTCATCTTCAATATTTGCGAATGCGAATTCGAATGCGATTGTTGGCTTTCAAATAAAGAGCGCGCAAAATGTTAAACAGACAGGTTTGACATTTCGTCAGCCATGTTTGTTGGTCAAATACATTCGCCAAATATTCGCATCATTTCTTGCGAATATGAATGCGAATGCGAATGACAAAAAATATGCGAATATTCGCGAATACGAATGCGAATAGATTATAAAGTTTGTATATCTAAATACGTCTCTTTCTAATATAATTATAAATAAAAAATTAAAAAAACCTCAACGCAAATTAATTGTAATTTAACGATTACACTGGCACGCGTGAAGCACTTAATCGAGTTATCATACGCCAAAATGCCTTACATCATTTTGGAAAAAAGAGCTGATACTTTTACACTGCTGGACCGATATTAACCAAACGTAGCTGAGAACCACCGCAAGGAAACTGGCTTTCAAATGAAAAAAACCGTATCGAAATCGTTCCATCTGTTTGAGAGCTACGATGCCACAGACATACACACACAGACAGACATCGACGTCAAACTTATAACAGCCCTCTTTTTGCGTCAGGGGGTTAAAAATAAAATGGTCGGTGCAAAAAAATAAATTAATTACAAGATCTATAACACGCTAACTTAAAAAGGTGCATACAATAAAGATGCTCCTTTAAGTAACTCCAGTTCATAATCTATCTGTGCACAAAATTTCATCACTTAGGACACTTTATTATCAAAATCGTCGATAAAAGAGTATAAGAATCAAAATCTAATTAATTAATCTAATTTTTGTTATTTTTAGAAAGAGAGCTACTGTCTAGGCTTAGAAGAAACATAACTCCCGATATCTTGTCCAATTTTGAACCGATTTTCATGATGAAAACCACTTTACTTTTACTCTACTTTTGGGTCATATTTTTTTATATATGTACATCTACGAGTATCTGTTTCTCATATTTTGATATTACATTCGCAATATGTGTACATTAGTACACAATTTACAAGCTTTTAGCGATAAGGCCGCCTGCTGTACATTTATTCTTTGTTACTTGTGTATTATCTTCGTTATGTTTGTATGTTTGTTTGTTTTATAAGGTGTACAATAAAGCCATGTTCATATATGCGACTATTTATAATGGCCAAATACTTTGAAAATCGCCTAATGTATTATGAAAAATTGTAACAATGCAAGCAAAGTTTTTATTATTAATACTCACACTTATAATAAATAAGTATACAAGTAAGTTTATTTGTTTTAATCGATGGCACAAAAACAAGGGAGTTAAAGTTTAACGTGTGTGTTTGTGTATCTGTTACCTGTCTGTTGCTTAAAGCGCCCAAACAGATGAACCAATTTTATTTTTTTTTTGATTAAAAAACTATGGTGACTTGATCGAGAATGTTCTTAGCTAAAAGTCTAGAAAATTCCGTTCAGTCCCTTGAAGACCATAAGCTCTTCTAGACTAATTAAAGGGATATGAGCAACTTCCACAGATCCTGATCGATTCCAAACTTGGTACCACGTTACTTCAATGATATGGTAATATTGGACTGATGCTGCTGCATGATGCTCAGTTCTATACTAGCATACTGCAGAGATATCGTTTTTAGACTCATTGAAATGGTCTCAATGAATAGGTTCTTGTAATCTTGTATGTTTTATTTATTTAATAATTATTATTGTTTTTTTCATCATTTTGTGTTAATTTTTTAAAATTTCATTAAAGAATTAGTTAATTTTGATAAAAAGGTCCTTATACTATACGGTGCCTTGCAAATGTAAGCTCAGGGATAGATTCAAACCCAATAATATCCTTTCATGTTGCAAACCTTACGAGAGGACTAAGATATTATTATTATTTTTCTATACATGTAGCATGAAAATTTAGTCATAGATTTAGTTTAAAAAAAAAAAGAAAAGTGTTTGATGAACATGCGTGATAAGTAGTGTTAGTATCGTAATGAGGGCTTTATATCATCATTTGTATACTAGATCAACATAATATGGCTATATCGATTTTTCATGTACAATCAATCATCTGCGATTATCATGCGATTTATAATCGACCAGCGGCTCACCGTCGCTCGGGCTCGATCCTACGTACGTTTTAACGATTAGTGTAGAATACATAGACTATATATCCATATCTATACTAATATTATAAATGCGAAAGTGTGTTTGTTTATCTTTCAGGTCGAAACGGCTTGTCGGTTTGGCGTGTTTTTTTGTGTTGAGATAGTTGGAGGGCTGAAGAGTGACATAGGCTACTTTTTACCACGGGAGATTATCTCTTTCCCACGGGAAAACACGTTTCCACATAAATAATAACGCCAATCCGGTACTCTGTTTTGACGTGAAGGACAAACAAACAAACAAACACATTTTTACATTAAATTTTGTACGGATATTCAAATATCTAAGGATTTTGCATTAAACTTTAACAGAAAACGTAATTTTTACATCCTTTCCCAAAAAAACACGAATATAAGAAATCTCAAGCGTAGCTCGGTAGCTCAGGTACTGTGGTCTTTAAAATTACAAATACAAAAAACACCTACAGACGCAACTAACCGGAGCAAGGCTAATTCGCTAGTTATATCATAAGAAAACAACATTTTGAAAGTTAAGATCAAAATGTCAAACCATGCTTTCTATTTCTAATGGTGTATATTTCGTGAAAGTCGATTGGAGTACCAAATTGCTTCCTGAATTATGGGATATTATTATCGCTCTAAGATTATTAACTTGTTTTTATATAATTTGTTAGACGATTTGCTAATAAGTAGTATTATAAAATAATTTCCGACTGAATAACTGTTATTAGTAAGGTAATAGCTTTGTATGCACATTTGTAGGTTTTTGGTGAATCAAAATATTGAGAGTTTTTCCTTGTTTTAACAGATTGATTGTCGTCGTCCAAACCTTTCTTTAATCACAGATCACATATTAATGTACTACTACTTTTCAAAATTTAGAGAGTCTAAAAGTTTACTAAACTATACATATAGATAAAATTGAAGTGTCTGTCTGTGATACAAAATTACTATGTTTTCCCATTTATATGATATCAGTACCCAAACAGCCCTCTTTGAAATTATGTCTGTCTGTGTTTATGTTTGTCTGAGAAAATCTTTGGAACCACTTAGCCGATTGTAATAGGACTTTCACTGAAAGGTAGAGGAATTCATAGGGCTATACATAGGGTATATTTTATTCCGAAAATATTGAGGGTTTCAACGCAAAATTCGAATTTTGGTTTCTAAACCGCTAGGGACGCACCCGAGCGAAGCGAGGATAACTCGCTTGTAAGTAAACAATTCTGCACCTTTGCTTATTGTTCATAGATGTAATATTAATCTAAGTTAAAATATAAATTTAAAATATAACTTTAAAATACTATCTTTGTATTAAAAGTTCAAAACCTTAACCCGAATTTTGAAACTATTTTTAATATTGATAAAGAAGTTTATGTTGCTGTAATTTTAAAGTTGACAAACAGAGCAGAAAAAGGAACTACTGAACTGTTGCGTCTTTGCCTATTTATATATGTTATGTTAAGAAATAATTAAAACTAACATAAACTTAAAATTATTCTATGTACCAACAATTTTCTTAACTAAATTATTTATATACCACATTTCTTTCATTCATCTCGCAATAAATTGTTTTGCTATTGCTGCTAATCTTTACCTCATATTAATCTTACTAGCGACTCACCCTCGGTTACTACGTATACAAACTTTCATCCCCATTTTTTACCAATTTAAGGAATGATTTCCTGGATAAAAAGTATTCTATGTCCCTCCCAGGGCCTCAAACTATCTTCTTACAAAATTTCATCTAAATCGGCTTAGTAGATCCAGAGATTACCCCCTACAACGTCACAAACTCACAAACTAACAAACTTTACCTCTTTATAATATTAGTATATATTAAAATTTATGTATAGTACAAGTTATGTAATCGTATCATCGGTCGGTGAATGCCCGCAATCGATCAGTTTCACTGCACTTTTACTCTCTTCCAATACGTTTGTTTATAATTATAAACACGCGATGTTTACTTTTTTATATTAAAATTAAGTGATTTATTAACATTTATATGATCATAAATAGTCATAGTTTCATTGAAAAATATTACAGTTTTGTATTAATTTACGATAATAGCATCAATAAATGTGTTTTTTTTTTTTTTACTTCTGATGAAAAGTTACCATGAAATAGTCTGTTCCGCCTTTGAAGCATTTCAATTCATTCTTGTATGTTTGGATGATTTCTTGGGCTATTACAAGTTTCCCTAAATTTACTATATGGATAACCTTTTCACATAAATATAAGCTATAGAAATCACATTTTAATGCAACCTACAATTCAAGAAAAACTCTCTTCTTTCAAGCTCTTAGGTCCATTAAGTATATGAAATAGAGATTATAATACACACACGTTTTTTCCGTAAAATTAGTCCAAGAAACACTACACTACAACTTATATGTAGGTATGTATAGTACAAACAAGCATACTTGTATAAGAGCGATGAGGGGATGCTAGAAGCCCAAGATGGTCTGAATCTGGTTTTCAGATATTATAGTGATGTGATCTAGAATATGGATAATGTAAATTTGGTCTGAATACAGTTGGAAAGTTACTGCAAGTCAGTAAAAACTACTTCGAGAAAGAAGCTCAAAGAATAATACAGCTAGGCTGGGCAGCATTCAATAAACTTCGTTCAGTCTTTTCGTCGCCAATACCGCAAAGCTTAAAAACAAAGTTCTTTAACGAGTGCGTCCTACCTGTTATGACATACGGAGCCGAGGCGTGGACACTGACCGTGCAACTGATCCTCCAGTTTAAGGTCGAGAGGGCTATGCTCGAAGTTTCTCTGAAGGATCGGTTTTGAAGTGAAGAGATCCGACAGAGAACCAAAGCTATCGACATAGCCCAAAGAATTAGCAAGCTGAAGTGGCGGTGGGCTGGTCACATTTGTTGCTAACCTATAACCGATGGAGTAGACGGATTCTAGAGTGTAGACCACGGCTCGACAAACGTAGTGTAGGACGCCCTCCAACTAGGTGGAGCGATGATATACGTAAAGTGGCTGGCAGACGCTGGATGGGTAGCGCTGAAATTCGAGCTCAGTGGCGTGCCATAGAAGAAGCCTATGTCCAGCAGTGGACGACAGCAGGTTGAATATGATGATAATGATAGTTGAGTTTGAGATTTGGGTCTGAAGTTGTGTCATCTATATAAATATACTGATTTACTATATACACATATTAGTATTTTCTTTTATTTTATTATGTTCCTATAGATTTTGTTAATTTGTTTAAGCTAATTTTCTCTAACTTTTCTTTCCAGTGATCCCTCAAAGCTGTCGATATAGGGGTGCTAGATACTCCTGTGGCTTGAGTATAACCTGCGCGTTAGGGGGTGGCAAACCCCTTGATCTTTGCTCCGGTGGTATGATATGGGCTTGTTGTATCAAACAGGATACAACTGAAAGACCCAGTGAGATTGCACCAGTTGTTCATAATGCTAGTAAGTAGTTTTTTTTTAATTTTATTAATAACTAATAAAAATGTCAATAATTTTAATGTCATATATGTATGTATAATTTAGATACCTTGAACAGTTTGAAAATGTAGTTTAGCGAAAACATAGTAATCATTTTGAAACCATTACCTGAAGACTTTATTATTTTTTACTTTTTATTTCTTATTTTTTTATAAATTAAACATAACTAAGGAAATATATGGTAAGGTCCATAAAAAAATAAAATTTAAACTTGTCAGAATCGAACCTGTAACCCTATGCAGTAAGCGCAGTCAGGTGTGATCAATAACTAAGATACTTCTTCAGAATGATTATCAGAGATGTAGATATTTTGGAGATATATTTTTTAATGAAAACTTAAAACTAATGGCGCGCCCCTACGTTGCTTAAGCCTATAAGTACCTTTTTACAGTACCTAATATTTTTTAAATTAGTAAAAAATAAAATATTTAATACATATTATATAATTAAAAGATCGTTTAAATTTGCCTTAGAGTTGAAAGGGTGAGTAAATATTTTAATAAAAGCAATTCTACATGAAAATAACCAATTTCTGCTTAAGCCTTCGTTAATAATACATTTAAACAATAAATTGTGCTAAAATAATTAACTATATCTCATTTTATATACAGTATAATATTTTCGTCTAGAATATTATTTATGTCCAAAATACTTGTATTGCAAAACGGACCCAAATTTGAACCAAACAAAAGGTTTGCCAAATACTTATTATATTTAGAAGACAATTATGAAATGTTAACTGTGAAGACAATAGGCTCTCTCTCTTACATTACATCTGATGTAGAGAATTGTAATGGCTTCTGTCATAGAATAAAGTTGAATACTGATATATGCCTATTTGCAGTTTTGTGCGTATGATGAGTTCTAGTGTTAGCCCAGTAGTCGTAATTTCATAAAAATTATATAAAAAAACTGTTTCCAAATTTTTTTGATGTGAAACATCTATAGGCACGCCTTCGCAGTAAAACGCTCTACTACTTCTTTGCCACTGCTCCCAACTCCATTGTACTCGTATATGCGCGCACGTATACTATACACTTTGTTGCTTCTCTGTGTTTACCGCTTGTATCCACGCTTTGTATTTTTTAAATGAGGATTATTTTGTTTTAAAAAATCTAATTATTTTGTCATTAATTATGTCATATTTACTGCCTTTAAAAACCATCCTGTCATGCATATTTTCTACACAAAATAGTTTCGATGTTTCACATCTGCCAGACACAACAGATAAAACAATAAACTGAACTACTGAACGTTATTCTGACATTATTTTTTTATTCATAAGACGAAAGCTCTTCAATAGATAATTAGAAACGAAATATAAGAAAATGAGTTGACAAACAGAGGAGAAAAAGGTATTGAACTGTTTTGTCTTTGCCTATTTATATATACCTATACATAGATTTAACTGCCTCGGTGGTATAGTGGCTAGCATGTACGGCTGCACACTTGGAGGTCCTGGGTTCGAGTCCCGGGTCGGGACAAGTTTAGTGATTGAGTCTTTCTGTATAGTAATTCTCAGTAACAGCCCGGAGTTGGGAAGTTGGCGGTGTTTCACCCCCGTGCCTCGGAAAGCACGTAAAGCTGTCGGTCCTGCGCCTTCCTTAACTCTCACTGCTCGTGTCGAGCAGTCGTCCCACCGGAGTATAAGAGTGACAGGAATAGAGAGTGCACTTGTGTCTGCGCGTACACTTGTGCACTATAATATCTCCTGCGCAGTTGGCTAGTCTCAATAAGATTGGCCGCCGTGGCCGGGATCGGCCAGGAGTATATCATACATAGATAATATAATACCACTCACTGATTACTCAATAAATATCAGGAAGTATAAATACTACAAACTATAAACTTGGCAGGATTTCTAATAGGGAGAAGAAAGAATTTTTAAGATACTCTAGTATCTCTCTCTCTCTCTCTCACTTTATAAAATAGTATAAAATTACTAGATATTGGTATAACGATTATTTATTACTAATAGTTCTATATTAGGCGCGATTTAGAATCAAATTCTGCATCGCGCTTTTCTATATGACTTCGAACTAGTAGTGTAAATAAGAAAGTTTGTAAATATGTATATTTGTTACTCATTCACGCTGAAACTGCTGGACGAATTTTGATGAAATTTATATACTTGGAGTAACAGAAAGGCTTTTGTTAGGCAACCAGAGTATTGCTTTTAAATAAATCAATACGTATCCCCTTTACCTATCATAACTAAATATTTTTTTAAATCTGTTTTTTTTGTTCTTGTGATAATACTAATAAAAAATAATAATAAATAAATTATATAAATACCACGGACGTTTCGTCCTTGCATTTCTCTCATTTATTTATTTATAAAGCATTTTTTTATCTATGCAGATAAATAATTTTGTAGTGTCTGTTTGTAATGTGAAAATATCAGCTTTTTACTAATATGATATTATAAACGATACTTATAAGAAAATCACAATTTTTATTTATTTTTTCTGTCTGTATGTTAGTTCCGGCTAATTTCCGAAACAACTGAACTGATTTTGACGGGACTTTCACTGGTAGATAGCTAATGTTATAAGTAGTAACTTAGGCTATTTTTATTTTAGAAAAAGAATTAGGGTTCCGCTCAAAAAAATATAACATGCCTAGGGACGCACCCGAGCGAAGCGAAAGTAAGTCGCTAATATGTTCATAAATATGACTACTTATAGTACTTATATTTGATAGATTTTTGACTGAAAGTTTGAAAAACTGGAGCAGTAGTCCTCTTCAAAAGAGCCTCATTCGCTTTGCAATCACTCTAAAACCCAGTTTGTCTATATAACATTTCTTCAATATACCTATTAAAAATAACATTTCTTCAATTTTTCTAACATAATTTAATTTCACTGTCGTCCATAACATATTTTTTACGCACTGATTCTTCAAACCGCAAATTAGCGGACCAATTATTTCCGGAAGTACATTTTTACGTTTCATTTTCTTCTCAACGGGTTTCATAATGTGTTATTATGTTTACTTTCTCGACTATAGAAACGATTGTATTTACGTTACGCAACGGCCTCGAACTATAAAAGTTGCGTAAACCAAAACCGGGTTTTAATAAAATAGTTTTGTATATTATCATACAAATTAAATGCTTTTGAATTTTTACGTGAGATTTATGTTAATTATTTAAAGATAAGACATTCTTCTTACTCTACTATTTATAAATACACTTAGGCAAGTATTGTTTTATTTATTTATTTTTATATACGTATACACTATGTAGGCTTTCGTTCGGCGTTTTTCTTGTAACATCGTGTTTTCTCGGAAAAGAAACAAAAAATACGTTTTTTTTTCAAAAAAGACACTTATATATAACTTAAAAAGCAAAAACTTATTTTAATAGAAAATTTCATCAAAATCACTTTGGAGTCCATAGGAAACATACATGCACAGATCGATTTTTATATATGTAATAGAGATCATTCTCGCTTCGCTCAGGTTCGATATTTTACCGCAGTAAAAAATCCCCGGATAACCAAATATCATCATACCAAATTTCATCAAAATCTGTAAGAGTATCCTAATATGTAAAACTTAAGAATTTGGTTTTGGTCATCTGAACGCGGGCGGAGCCGCGGGCAATGCTAGTAATATTATAAGACTATATCTATCTGGTATAGAGAAACTTAATTATTAATAAAAGGAAACTAAATAATACAAATTAACAAATAACACGCCATTAAATTATTATTTAATTTTCTGGTCAAAGACGCTCGAGGTTTTAGAGAAAACCAGTGAAAGTCGAGGCATGATATCTATTGAAGCGTTAAGACAATAGTTAAAAGACTAAAAGTAAATGTACATCCGGCGAAGATTATCTAAATTCGAAAGTAAGCCTAATGTACATACATACATAATTGTATGGAATTACGTTAAACATTTTAGAATAACACTCTCGTGTTATAATATATATTTGATTACATCGAGTTTTTTTTTATTTACAGTCATTGTAAATGCCAGATATTTTCCAAAAAGTTTCTATTGCAAGATTTAAATACGAGTAATTTTATAATGTTGTTATTTCATAGTATTAAATGAGCAATTCTTGTGTATAAGTAGGTATTTATATAAATTTATTTTGCGTTTCGGAAACGGCTCTATCGGTTTGGATCAAATTTTGTTTTTAGATAAGGTTTAGGTTTTTTTAGTTTATGTTAGGTGTCTTTTCTGAAAAAACGCAATTATTATATCTCTTCTAAAAAATCGTCGAGCGAAGCTCGATCGTCTTTGTACTATTTATTTCTAATAATATGAAAAATCAATTGAAGCAAATCAAATGAGCAAAAACTCGAAGGTCTTCATAATACTTTCATATGTTACGCGATTATTTGACATTTTATATTTAAAAAAATCATTGCTGTAAATCATTTGACACGTCGGAAATTAAAAAACAAAATATATCCGCGAAAAAATTCGAAGGATCTACTTGTAGCCATTAGTCTAACTTCTTAATAAGAAGTTTCACTACCCACCAACTTTCTCCCCTCAAATTTCAACCTAAATTATAATCAAATTATTGTGTGTCAAAAAAATTTCACAAAGTTTTAAATGGATTAAGAGTAGGTTATAATCGACTTCCATATTGCAAAGTTACAAGTGACTCTAATATTCGTTGGCTCACTATTACAAGATTCTATGTTACAATTTTAGTACTTATTTAGTTATTAATGCTACAAGGTTCTATGTGTCATTAGCTACAGTTTTGCAAAAACAAACCACTAGATAGCGGCACTATAACTACAAAATATTCAATTTTACATAGTTCTATGTTGTTTTTTTACGATAACAAAATAACGAAGTTCTATGTAAAAATTACTAAACTTCATTAAAATTAACATAGAACCTTGTAATAGTAAGCCAACAAATTATGTATCTTAAAATGCTAGTATCATCTGTTTAAATAGCTATAGTTAGTTATATTTTTTTTTAATTTATCCTCATCCACGGGCAGGAGGATTGTATTGATCGAGCAACCCTGTCGGCAATTTGCAAAACTAACTTCGATCGAAATCCTTTATTTATATATTCAAGCTTTCAAAAGGCGAATGGGTTTTAAGGGAGTAAAATATATAAGAAAATCCCATAGCCGCTCGTTTGTTACTTAGACAATTTAAATCAAAAATATATACTAAGTCAAATCAAGAATTCTAAGTCAAGAACATTTAACAGATGAACGTGTGAGACTATATCAAGTTGATACTTATGAAGGATAAGCGTGACATTATTATATAATTTTTAAAGAGCCTCACTTGACTTTCTCACCGATTTTTCTCCGCAGAACTGTGTCAGAAGCTGGACTTCCGTGACACTGATCTATACATATAATAAAATTGTAACTAAGTCGAATCTGTACATTAAATATTTTTTGGAAAATTTAATTGATATAGACATTATTATCGATACATAGTCCGAATCTATAGTTTTTAGAATTTTTGTCTGTCTGTCTGTCTGTTACCGCATCACGAGAAAACCACTGGACAGATTTTGATGAAATTTGGTATGATGATAGCTGGTCATCCGGGTCAACTTATAGGATACTTTTTACCGCGGGAAAATATTTCATTTCTGAGAAAAAATACAAAAACTGCATTGTAAGAGTATAATAATATGTAAAACCTAAGATATTGGTTTTTGGTCATCTGAACGCGGGCGGAGCCGCGGGCACTGCTAGTATATTATAATTTCATTCAAAATGTAAATATTTTATATTTTAAGTTGGTTTCATTTTCACAAAAGTTTAGTTCAAGTATTTGCAGACGAAAAAGTAGTTAGAATTGTTACTATTAGTGTGTCTTATACTATAAATCTAGTCCTCACCTCAAATATACATACATATATCGCTTTGGAAAAATATCAGGCCAACAAATGAGTGAAAATAATAATGTTCGGAACGGTTTCCGTCACGGCAGTCAATTTCATTAAGATTAAACGACATCTGCGTAAGAGAATATAGTGCAACAATAAGCACTGTCTATTTCTGTCACTCTAAAACTCCAGATCGACGAAATTTCACCACGATCGGTGAGAGGACAGGCGGTAAAACACCGCCAACTTCCTAACTCCTCGCTGTTACTGAGAATTTAAGATAAAAGCTCAATAACTAACATCGGCCGTCCTGGGCTCGAACCCAGGACCTCCAATTCAGCAGCTATAAATGATAGCCACTAGATCACTGAGACGAAAATTAATTCACACAAACCACTATTGCCCTAATAACGAATTATGTTATTTTTTTAATTTCGAATGTAATTGCTAGCATAAGCGCTTATATAATGAATGTTCTAGAAACAAGTTGTGAAGGAAATAAAAATATTAAAGAAAAAAAGCTAATCGTAATAAGAACAGGAAGTGGATATTATATAACTCATTATACTTTTGTAGGTTGAATAACTATAGATGAATGACGTTAGTTAGACGTTAATACTTCAGGGGTTTTGTGTTGCGTAAACTATTAGTTCATTGTGAGGCTTAAATTGCGTAAAATTAATTTAAAAGCAAAATTTTATTATACATTATTCATCCATTTACTTATATATGTATATATGGGATGGTAAATATTATTTTAAACTGGCATTTTCCTGTAGCTTCGCATGAGTATTCTATTATATACTATTATAAATTTGAGTTACTCTGATGTATAAGCTATATTACTGTAAAGTTTCATCAAAATTCGTTCAGTAGTAGTAAAAAGTAACAAACGTACATCCATTCTCACAAACTCTAGTCAATGTTTTACAAGTAGCCATTGAAGAATAATACTATCTTAAATTTAGCAAATATTTGATATTTTAAATAAAACAACAGGAACACTTATAACAATTATTGTTATTTCAAATATTATATGAATTATTTAGATTATTTCTTGGTTGATACAAAATTTTGTTAATATTTTATAGCAATAATCAAAAAATGTGTTTATAAATTATATTATTTTGGAAAGTGGGACTCATTAGCTGAATTATTTTTAACAAAATCTTAATCTACATTCTTACATAATTATAGTTCTCATGCTAAAATGTATAGATAAATTGTATTAAAACTAGAACGTAGCAAAGTTCTTTTTAGTCTAGACCACACGTAGTAAAAGAGATATTCCACAACAGGTGACCTAGTACAGCTCATCGGCACATTCCCACACGAAACCTTCGAATACCAAACAAACACACAGTTCGAGGATCCCATCATCATTTACACGGATACAAACCACGTGAAACCGCATTACAACCGCCCAAAACCGGTCACAGACCGGCCGGAAGCGGACCAAACCGGTTTGAACCGACCAAAACCGGATTGGAACATCCAAAACTACGATCAGAACCACTATTACTATGTAAAACCATCATATCATGAAAGTACAACACAATTACCGGATTTCTACCCGGATATAGGTTCAAATAACCCGGACGGTGATGATGATTATGTGCCGGTACACACGAACGGTCATAAACCACCGAGACCTAGCTACCCGGGTGAGATGTGTTTTATAAAAAGTGATAATTTTAAACTTAAGAAAACTCAAGAATTTTTAAAGTTATTTTTATAAACATCATAAATAAAAAGTAAATGAATTTTATCTTTACTAATGACGTTTTAATGATTTTACAGATACCAATCTATTTGTAGAAGTCGTAAAGTTTTATATTTCCAACTTTAACAGCTTCCATAACGGCATTTAGCCTTTTGTACCAAGACTATTTACTTAAATATTTTTAAATAAAAGAAAAAGTTTATATGAACTATAATATTTTTGTATGAACCATTCAATTTTAATAAAATTCTTGAATTTTCTCTATGGCCGTTTTCCTTCCTGCTTTAAATGTTGCACAGCGTTTCCATAATCATCACGCACCCTCTGTTGTATAGCACATGCTTTGTATGGCTTTTTCACATTAGTGGATGAAGCAATTTCTAAGATTATAATTTATAACTGAAAGCTGACTTCAAAAATTTGCCTGGCTGTACCTTAGAGAGTAAAATTTTAATAAAAATAATAAATTTAATAATAATAAATTTTAATCAAATAAGAATTATTAAATCAGTGTGCATTAGAATATATCACTAAAATATGAAGATATACGCCTAATTTGCAAATCTTCTATTTTTGAAGTCGGTTAGTAAGTATACCTAGAATACTTATTAATGTAATGTAGAGTTTGAGATAGAAATTAAGAGTTGCTAGTGTTTTTGTATATGTATTTGTATAGAAGCTTTAGAAATGTGTCTTAAAAGCACTGATATACAAAAACTCAAGATACTTACACAATTAGCGTCTCAAAAATGTCCTCAAAAGAGGTGCACAATTTTTCAAACCTCTTTTGTTCATTGCTTTTCCGATGACATTATTTCGTTTAAAAAAACTACTTTATGTCATGTGCGTGAGTTCAAATTTGTGTTCAGACAATTAGAACTTTCGATTTTTTAATTTTATTCTACGGTTTGACTTAACGTCACATATCGATGCCATTTTTTGAAGAGATATTTGTAAGGAAATGTGTATCTGTATTTTTATATTTCAATGCTTAAAAGCCTAATATTGTATGTAGTAAAAGAGCTCAGAAGGGTTTTCCAGGAAGACAAATATTTGACAATTAACAATTATATTTCTCGCTTTTTCTGTATACTCATTTTACATTTATATTTTATATTAGGAATATAAATATAATCCGAATCACCGACTGTCCACTTGACATATCAAAAATCTATTGTCAAAATCTACAAACTGGCTCATAAAAATAACTGAATGTTACAGTAGTAAAATAATATTGCTACTGTCTACTGCCCGAAATAGAGAACTTTAGGTTTTATTTTTTAACTACTGTCTGCCCGTGGCTTTGTTCGCATGATAAGCAGGGGTTCAAGGGTAGCCTTTGCTTGATCCCAGAAAGCAATCTATGAGCTTGCCAAATTTCATCAAAATGTGTTCAATTTAAGCTTGAAACGTAACAGATAGACCTACTTTCACATTCATAATATTTGTTTAGATTTAAATATCTCTATCTCCATCTAGATTAACTAAAACGCAGAGATGGTATTGTTAAATGTTAAGTACTATGTATTTTAACACTTTTTTGTACAATAAAAATGGTACAAGAAAAAAATGCATATATAGAAATGTGCAAAGGCGGCCTTATCTCATAAGTGATGTTTTATAGGCAAATGATAGAGAAGGATACAATAAATGAAAATGGCGGAAAGGTGCATATAGTTCAAGTTACTACTACTATTTCTTTTGGTATTTTACCAATTATATGTGGTACTGGAAAGAGCGAGCGGAGTTCATAATATAATATACTTTACCTAAGGCTTTATGAAAAGAAAATTAAAATATCCAAGTCCGACTCTACATTCTTTTATATAGAAATGTCTAATGTAGAAAGCTCTTTTAGAAGATAAAAAGAAGAGAAGAACGACTCTATTTTCTTACTTTACTGACTGATTTGTTAACAAGAAAAAACAGAGCAAGAAGACACTATACACTCTCTTTCACTCTTTATAAGGAGTGCTATCATTGGCAACTCCATAGTTTCGTTGATTGGATTTGGATTTTTTTTTAAATGTTTGTACACAAGTAGTTCGCACATTAGAATTTATGTATTAGATGTAGTTAGTCCGCATGTTTGGGTGTCAGTAGATTTATTATATTTAGTGGTAAAATGGTAATTTCTATAAATTAAGACATTTTCATGATGTTTGTTAAAACACAGTTATATTACGCTTAATTCTAAGCATAAATAATTCTTTCCTTGCAAATAAAATAGCTGATGATAAAAATATACATATCGTCTTGTTGTAAGGAATGTGTTTGTTTTGTTGCGATCATTTTTATTTGGATTATATTTCACAAAAAAAAATGATTTGAAATTAAAAAAAAATTGAACTTTCGAGTTTGATTATTGAAAAATATGAATATTTTGACGAATAGTATTAAAGACTGCTAACTTTGGGCTCAATATATGCTCAGTTTATTTTCTCTTGCGGAGTAGATTGCGAAAACGATTCAACTCTCCTTTTTCCTTTCTCCGCTATAGTATTAGATACTATGCCGAATGTCCTACATATACATATATATGGATAATATATTAAAATAATTGTCCTGTACCAATGAACTTTTGACTGTGAAAATTTTAACGTTATCTTTTTTAATTTTACAGGCTGTGGCGAGCTCTACACACGCTCCAATCGTATCGTAGGTGGTCACTCCACTGGCTTTGGCTCTCACCCCTGGCAGGCAGCCCTTATAAAATCTGGTTTCTTAAGCAAAAAACTTGCGTGTGGAGGTGCTTTAATATCAGATAGATGGGTTATCACCGCAGCCCACTGTGTCGCTACGTGAGTATAATATTTTAATAATAACTTTGCAACAGAGTTATCCCAAGGGGTTGATCTTTTTTACTGGGATAAATAGGTGGCCTAGACTAACTCTCGGTCCGTAAACTATTTATTCTCTAAGTGAGAATTCACATTCATTTATTATTCCATTTTAGCGTTATTTCTATTCCTGTTTTTGCTTGTGAACAAACCAACAAAAACTATAAAATATTAAGTGTAAGCAAGATTTTCGTATCTTAGAAGGCTGTCAAATGGATCTGGTATAGTAGGGTTTCTCAAACATACGGTCCCACGTATTGATATTGAGATATGGTCTTGTAAACCTCTTTCCTTAAAAACTTTGTAGTTTTTTTAACACGTGCATCTGGATCTGAGGATCAGTATAGTTATGCCTATTAATGCATCATTTTAAAGTACCTTATAATTTTTTCCACCACTAATTACATGGTTGCAAAGGTGTTTAAAAAAGTGTGTAAAGTTGTATAATTACTACAACATACCCAACAATTCTTTTAAGACCCTCACACTTTTCCACCATCAAATTTCAGATCTATAGTACGAATAGTCTTCGAGTAAAATAGTTATGACAAACAGACACAGACAAATTATGGATTTTTAATTTCTGCCTTTTGGCTACGAAACCGTAAAACATTAACATATAACCCAATACATGGTCTATCTGTGTACCAAATATTTTAAGACTTTTTTCAGAGACAAACTTTTAGAAAAATTTCCCAATATTTAATATTAGTCAGAATTAAACGTATGAAACGAAAGTAATTAGAATACAATACATACAATCTTCATATAAAATATACATTCTAGTACACCAAACTCACAACTCCGGGTGCGTCTCGGTGAATGGGACGTTAGAGATGCTGGAGAAAGATACTCCCATGAAGAGTTTTCAGTGCAGAGGAAAGAGGTCCACCCATCTTACGAGCCCTCTGACTTCAGGAATGACGTGGCTTTGGTCCAGCTTGACCATAATGTAGTGTTTAAACAGCATATATTACCGGTAAGTATACTATTTGATTACCGAAGATTTTTAGATAACGTGAAATCTACTTAATAAAATCTTGCATTCTGTTACTATCTCATTAACAGAAAATGCGTAGCTTAACTTCTGGGTTTATCTATATAAGGGTTCTACTATAAAGAATTTCTTATATAAAGAAAGAAAACTAAAGAAGGAAGTTTTAGATACATAAATATTATATTTATAGCAACTGTTGAGTTTCTCGCCAGCTCTTCTCAGCAGAACTGCTTTCCGAAGCCGTGGTAGACTCTTCTGACTGAATAAACTGGCATTGAATTTAAAATGTAAATTGACGATTCCAAGTACTTGTATAAGTCTATTTGAAAAGAAGTAATTTATTTTGATTTGATTTGATTTAATGGGTTAAGGAGATGGAAGTCTTTATGAAATTTCGTTTTAATTTTTGTGCTTAGACACCGTCTGGTAATATCTACGAGTTTTGAGATGTTTGAACCTTAGTTCCTCCCATGATCATGTTGCTTAGTAAAAATAACACCATAAAAATATCGTTTTTTTTTAAACATTAAATATGACGTATTACATGTAATACTAGCATTGCCCGCGGCTCCGCCCGCGTTCAGATGACCAAAAACAAAATTCTTAGGTTTTACATATTAGTATAGTCTTATATTGAAGTTTTTGTATTTTTTCTCAAAAATAAGATATTTTCCCCCGCGGTAAAAAGTATCCTATATGTTGACCCGGATAATCAGCTATCACCATACCAATTTTATCAAAATCTCTCTAGTGGTTTTTCTGTGATGCGGTAACAGACAGACAGACAAAAATTCTAAAAACAATAGATTCGGCCTCTGTATCGATAATGATGTTTACTTCAATAAGATTTTCCAAAAAATATCTAATGTCCAGATTCGGCTTAGTTACAATTTTATTATATGTATAGATTTTAATAGAAATGTGATATGAAGAATGCCAAAATTTTTCTTCTTATAAGTTGTTTTCATCTACAAAGTGTTTTATATTCCATTCTATATGCATTACTGTGTATTTTTTAATTTAGTGATTTTAGTAAAAACTGAGTTACTAAGTTAGCCTTACTTAACCGTTTATACTTAGAGGCATAAAAAGTTGAGAAAATCCATATTGACAATAAAATAAGCCTTAGTAATAAATTATGTACCTTATAATTCCAGGTATGTCTTCCACAAAAGCAAATGAAATTGGCTGGAAAGATGGCAACAGTAGCTGGATGGGGACGGACGAGACATGGACAAAGCACAGTCCCTTCTGTTTTACAGGTAAATATTCTATCAATTAACCTTAACGTATCCATTACAAATGGATAATATACATATAAAATTACTTGTGTCGATCGATTCATCAAAGCCCAGGCTTAACCAGATCTAAAGGGTTCAAAAATTTTATTATTAGCAATGTAATAGCTGCTAAAATTAAAAAATAACAATATTGGTATATTTAATTATATAAAATACTTATTAAAAAAAATTGAAATGGTTAGAATTAAATTCAGCAAATATTGTAAGGTACTTTGGTGCTATTTTTGGATTTTTGAAATCATTTTGTAAAATTGTAGGTAGGCACTGCACAACTGTAACTGCTGTAACAACTATATAGTGACCTTTGAGACATTTACCTTAGTCTCTCCCGTGACCATGATTGTTGTAAAGCACTCGAAGCGCCGGAAACTAAAAACTGTTCCTGAAACTTTCTTTACAAAGAATACTTTGCAAATCCGAGACTTGAACCCAGGAACTCCGCTCGCTCCGCTCTTTAGCGCTGTGGAAGTTACCGCAATTAAATTAAAACAAATATAAATATATATGTATTTTTTATAAAATTATTAGTAATAAACATTCATTTTTATTAGTAACTAGCGACGAACCCGAGCGAATCCAAAAAAACAAATATCATAAAAATAGATCCATTCGTTCTTGAGTTATAAATAACACGACTTTGTTATATATATAGGTAATTATATTATTAAATTATTAATAATGAATAAATATTCTATAAATAATAATTATTATAAAAATATGTGTGTATTCAGCCCTTTTTAATGTCCCACTGCTGGGCACGGGCCTCCCTTCAATACGAGGGGGATCAGGCCATAGTCCACCACGCTGGCCAAGTGCGGGTTGGCGGACTTCACATGTCTTTCGAAAACTTGCTAGGTTCTCTCAGACATGCAGGTTTCCTCACGATGTTTTCCTTCACCGTAAGGCAAGTGGTAATCATGTTAGAAATGATTCGCACATGAAAATATCAGAGGTGCGAGACCTTTGAACCCGCTTCACTCGGTGTCCCAAGCGAGCGTGTTACCACTGGGCTACCACTGCCATATAAAAAAAAAAAAAAAAAAAAAATTATATATATACATTTCAAGATTAATTAACAATAAAGACTCTCACTCCCGCGACACTCATGTTTCCAATGTATTGACACCACTCAGTCACGCTTAAAGAAGTTTTACTTCAATAATACATTTATTACAGGAAGTGGAAGTAGAAGTGATACCAAACGAGCGTTGCCAGCGTTGGTTCAGAGCGGCGGGGCGGAGAGAGACTATACATGATGTGTTCCTTTGTGCTGGATATAAAGAGGTAAGTTTTATAAAGACAAGTGACTTTTTCTCACCTCGCTCGCTAGATATAAATGATAAGTTAATATGTTGGAACATTTACACACAGCACTATCTAGTTCCATGGTAAGCTACGAGGCATGTGTTGTGGATACCAGATAGTTCATACACTACACATATATAACTTAAAATACTATTACACATATATTATATATACTATAAATATGATGACCCATGACTGGAGTACAAACATTCGTGCTCATCCCACAAATGAATGCCCCCAGCACATCTACAAACTGAGCCAAACGTGTCGTCAAAATGTCCATCATATTGACAATAAAAAATTCTATTATGCAGGGAGGTAGGGATTCCTGTCAAGGGGACTCTGGAGGGCCCCTCACTATGAAGTATGAGGGTCGAAGCACCCTTATTGGTCTCGTCTCATGGGGCATTGGTTGTGGTAGAGAACATCTACCCGGCGTGTATACAAACATACAGAAGTTCGTGCCGTGGGTAGACAAACTTGTTAGTACGTAATATGTTATTTACCTTTACCCAAATTAGGGTAACTATTGATAAATGTCAAGTCAAACTGTTTTTTTTATTTTGAATATATATATTTTATAGCATTTAAATCAGATAAACGAACAGATATTCTTAGAAGTGTATTTATACTATCAGTAAATATTATATTATGCATGTCATAGTTACTCTACTTTATTTCAACTGTTATTGAATTTGTTATTTACCTTTACCCAAAGGTAAAATATGAGGTTTCAAATTTTTATAGTAAATATAAATGCAAAATTTTACCTCCTGTGATAATTTTAAGAGTATTGTTTTTACAAAAAAAATATTTTATAATATAAAAAAATAAATTCGTGTATTTTGTTTATCAAAATAAAGATCTCCCGTTGATTTTTGTTTATATGTTGTAAATAGGTGCTAAAATTATTTATTTTTAAGTAAAATTTATAATTATTTTATGAAATTAAAATGTTTCATTATAAATATTTTCTTAAAAAATAATATGTATGTCATAAAAAATAATAATATATTTTATTTTGCTTATTTTTAATTATTTTTGTAGTATTTTTTTGTTAATAATGTTAAAATAAAAATCCTAAATTAGGATGCGTGACTATGTGGTCTTAATTATTATATTTTGTAATAAATCTATTTATTTTTAGAATTAATAGTTTTATGGCTTTTATATTTTTGTAAATTAAAAGAATATATAATTCTATGAAGTTTTGTATTATTATTTACGATTATTTTACACCTTTTTTGTAATTTTATTAAAACTTAGTATAGGTTTTATTTTTTCTATACAAAATAAAAGTAAATCATAAATTAAAAATATACTAATTACAGTTATGGAATGTAAAAAAATTTTCGACTTTTCTGTTTAATTTAAAATTTAATGAAGTTCATTTAAAATAGCAAGTAGATCAATGAGATGGGAATTCTGTACAATCCCTTGTAAATCAAGAAAAATAGTTTAAATAAATGTCAATAGATGGCGTAGTATCCATGGATTTGCTATTGATCTATATGTTCTATACATATAATAATATATAATTGTAACGGAGTCGAATCTGTGCATTAAATATTTTTTTAGGAAAATCTTATTGAAATAGTCATTATTATCGATATAGTGGCCGAATTTGTAGTTTTAGAATTTTGTCTGTCGGTCTGTCTGGGAACGCGTCACGAGAAAACCACTAGACAGATTTTGATGTAAATTGGTACCTCTGAGACATCTATACCACACGCTAAATAAAATTTATATAAAACTAGGAAAAGAAGAAATAATACATAAGTTTAAAATTCTATTCTTTTAAATCATATATATTTTTTTTCAAATCTCCAGTCATTTTAATATTGAATGTATTAAAATTATGAAACATTCAACATTAGATATTTTTTTCACCTCTAATTAAAAACTTTCACTATAACCGCAGTTTTTTTTTATTTTATTTTTTTCATCCCAAAAATTCAAGATATTATGCATATTTTCTTTAATATTTGTACACAGTATATAATATACATATATTGTATACAGTATGTAAATTACTTTAATCTATATGAAAATATATTTCTCTTATCTATCAAAAGCGCCATCTATCTGTTAATGCACGAAATAAGGCAACACTTGCCCTTCATTATAAAATCTATACTTTTACCTCATTACGATAATAGATGGCGTTGATAAAACTATCTTCTCATGATCCATCCTATTAAACTTTTCTAAATATATAAATCAATTGCAGTTCGTTAGTCTCGCAAAGATTCAAAAACGGCTGGATCGATTTGAATAGTCCTTTTTTTTGTTGGGGGTGTGTCAGGGGTGGTTTAAGTATAAAAAAAATAAGGATCATCCGTCAGAACAGCTGGAAAATCATAAAAGTTCAGAACTGATTATTTTGTATGGCAAACATTACTTCAGATCACTATCAATAGATGGTGTTAGTGGTGGATCTATTAGAAATATATATATATATATATATATATCACATACATACTTAAAGTCTATCTATTCCTATAGTACTATATGATCTGTGTCTATACTAACCAAAACATACCTAGGGATGAACTCGATCAAAGCGAGGGCGAGTCGCTGGTACCTAGTACATATATAATATACAGATGTATATTGTACGTATGTAATGCATATATTATTTCTATATTGTATTTCTTAAAAATGTATCCGAATAGGTTTTCGATATAGCACATAACATATTATTTGTAGAGTTCTTTCGAGTACATCACTTACAGCATAAACTGTAAATAATTTAGGTAAATGAACAAAATGATAAATTTAAAATATCTATAAATTATATATAAATTGATGAATTTGACATACTATTACCACCAGACCAGACTAATCTAAATAAATAAAACCTTGGCAGCGTGGCTTAATAATAACATGAATAAATAATCAATAAAAACTCTTTTTTTATTTAATCACTAGTCCCTTGGTTAGACCTTCGTAGTAAAAAAACGGAATATTTATTTTGATATTTTATGGTACAATCCTTGCGATATTTATTCATTATAAAACGGGTTATGAAAATTAATTCATAATTAGTGGAGATATGGTATAACGTAACACAAAAAAATACCACCTCCATTGAGTCAGTCGAAAAATAAATATTTATGATAAAACAAACACGTCAGACCACACCTGGCCTTGACGCTTACACTCGTTGAAGTCTTTTATATGCGTAAAATTTACAAAAACAACGAATTATGTAATAATTATACATTGCTTTCGTTAAATTTATAGAATTTATAGTTTATTTAAGAATTTTAAGTAGAAGCTTCTACTTTTTAAGATTTACGTGAATATTTATTATCTTTTCAGATTTTCGTGGATTTATTAACTAAATGTAATAATTTTTGAGGCCTCTGAAACGTTCATTTCTCTCGTGACTAAAGATTGCTCTAAAGGATTCGATACGTCGGGAACCAAAAATCAAAATAAGTTGTTTTTAATTTATTGATATAAAATTTTAATCCTTCTGTTGGGTTGTTTTTCTCAAATATGAACTCGTATAATTTTGTATTAAAATTTGCATAGTTGTATAAAACTAGTGGTTATTTAGCAGAGGACATAAAAAGGTTATTCTATGTATAAAAACTCAACTGATTCATACAAAGCAAAAATTGTACTCAAAAATACACTTTAATTTAATTCGGCCAATAATCTATACATATAATAAAATTGTAACATTAATTGTAAAATTATAAATATTTTATGATCAAAATTAGCCAAATTAGTCTTTCATTTTTATTTATATAGATTTTTAATTATCTAGTACAATATTAGTATACAGTGGTCATAGTTTGACCATAATCATGAATTTGAAGAAAACGTATTTATACATCATATAATATCATCATACAATATACATTTTTCTAACTTTTTTACTCTTTAACATTCGTTCATTGTACTTATATATTTGAAAATCCTGGTCGGTTGATAAATAAAGGAAAAAAGGTACTGAACTATTTTGACTTTGCCTACTTAATATCTACAGATAATAAATATGTTGGGACATTAACACACAGCACCATCTAGTTCCATGGTAAGCTACGAGGCTTGAGTTATGGATAACTTTAAATGCATACATATTGTAAATATGTATGTACTCATGACTAAGTACAAACATTCGTGCTCATCACACATTAAATGAATGCCCCAAACGAGACTCAAACCCGCGACTGCTGGCACAGCAAGTAGTGTCACTACAAACTAAGCCAAACGTGTCGTCAACTTTATAACATTGCAATTACGGCTCATATTATGGTCATTGAAACCACAGCCGTACCATTTCTTGTTTATTGCCCTATAGTTTATTTACATAAATATCTCCAAAATGGATTGTTCTTTGTATATTCAATAATTTCCGAAGTATCTCAACCAATTCAATTGCTTCAATATACAATTCAATTCTTATCAGAGTGTTTGTTATTCACGTCATAACTCCTCAATAAGTTTGAGAGATATTCGGTCTGGAGATTGCTTATTTCCTATAGTAACACAATCACAGGCTATTTTTATCGTCATACCCACCAAGCGAGTGGAGCTGCTCGAAAGCTTTAGCACAATAAAAAGATAATGAAGTCAACTATAAGCGTAAATGCTCCTCGAACATTGTTCTCTTTGCAAAACTGGTTCCACCTTATGAGAAGATACTTTGCAGTGAGGTTGTTCCTCGAAGACGCGTCAGTGGATTACGTACTCTACCAAAGCAAATTGAATTATTCTATACTATCGACTTACCCTCGCTTTACTTGGGTTCGTTTTTAATTATAAGCATTATTTTCATATACATGTAGCGGTTTGGCCACCGCAGGCTTTAAAGTGGTTATTTAGCGCATTTTACTCTGACTTGATTTGCAAATATTAAGATTTAAAATTGAAAACTTTCTTAAATCATAATAAAATAAAGCCTATATCTGTAAAGAAAAGTGCAGTTTAATATAAGTGAAAGAACTTTTGGAACTTTTGGACTGAGTTCAGTAGTTTCAGAGATTACACCTACATACAAACAAAGTTTACCTCTTTATTATATTAGTATAAAAGTATGGATTAACGACTTAAGTAAGTCCTTGGTTCTGTTTTCATTAACGAGTATTCTCACTGTAGGCACAAATATATACACACACATCCATTTTATACTTTTCTATTTTTGAAGTAATTATAATAAATAAAATGCGCGGGTAAATGAAAGTCAATTTTTGGCTTTCTACAGTCCTTCTCTATATAAACTTTAACTATACCAAAGCTCATACTCCTCCATACATGCTATATGCTTAAAAAGGGGCTTAAAGTTTTCTCTTCACGTAATAATATATAGAGTGTGTTTGAAATAATTTTTAAAAACACTTTTGACTTATCAATTTTCAGTTTTAATTCAGTATGAATTATAAACCCGTAAGAGTATATTATTCTACGTGAATTTGGTGAAGTCATCTGTGCTCAACTTGCAGGATTTGAAGCCATTAACAAGAGAACTAAATTGAACCCATAAAATCAACTAGTTTAACGACATTTTTCTTGGAGATTTATTTTTTGTTTTGTTTACGCACTGCTTGTTTTACGCGTTTCCATATAGAGTGGTATGTTAATTACCTTTTAAGTACATACAAAAAGCCATTAAGACAAAGCCATAAGAAAATATAAAAAGAAAAATAACAGTGTGTTAATACTTTTTTGATTTACGAGAAATTTTGTTTTTTTTTTAAATAAAACTATTTTTTCAGATTTTGGTTCCTGACGTTTTGAGTGCTTTATAGCAAATATGGTTACGGAAAAAGCTAATGGAGGATCCAAAAGGCCTGAAGATATAGTTTTGTCCTGTTATTTTTTTATTATCTATCAAATAAAAATGGCTATAGAAAAAGCACTTTCAGCATTAATCGGATTAATAAACAAAATTTTCTTATTTTGTTTTTTTTTAAACCTTATTTGGGTTATTACGAATGTTCCAAAATTATAATTTAGCCAAATCAGTCTAGCCGTACTCAAGTGATCAATTTAACAACGAACCGCATATCACTTTCCGGACTCCATAGGCAACAGGGAACCCTTACAGTTTGGCCATGTACGTCTGTCTGTTCGCAGCTTAGCTCAGAAATTCTTAGTACTAGAAAGTTGTAATTTGGCATAAATATACATATTAGTCACATCGACAAAGGGGTAAAACAAAATCTTGAAAAAGAAATGGGCAACTACAGAACCCTTTTTTTTAACTACAGAACCCTACATTGCGCATGACCGGACTCGCACTTGGCCGGATTTGTTATTTAAACAATTAGTACATAGCTTAATATTACTATTTTTTTACTAATATTATAAATGATTATCTCCGTCTGTCTATTTCTTATCTTTCCACGATAAAACGCTGAACAGATTTCAATGAACTTTGGTAGAAAGTATATTTCTTCTTGTGTGCTACGAGATATTTTTATCAAACTTAATTCGATTTACACGTTTTTTTCTAAGAAATACATGTTTGTAGCTGTATTCAGCCCTTTTTAACGTTCCACTGCTGGGAGGTTTGAAACTCGATGAAACGAAAATACGACACGAGAAAGGGATAGACATATAAATATATTATATGACTAGCATTGCCCGCGGTTCCGCCCGCGTTCCGATGACCAAAAACCAAATTCTTAGGTTTTATATATTAGTATACTCTTACATTGCAGTTTTTGTATTCTATCTAGAAATGAAATATTTTCCCGCGGTAAAAAGTATCCTATATGTTGACCCGGATAACCAGCTATCATCATACCAAATTTCAACAAAATCTGTCCTGTGGTTTTCTTGTGATGCGGTAATAGACAGACAGACAGACAGACAAAAATTCTTAAAACTATAGATTCGGACATCATGATTATAATATCGACAATAATGTTTATTTCAATTAGATTTTCCGAAAAATATTTAATGTACAGATTCCACTTAGTTACAATTTTATTATATGTATAGATTAAGCCGGCGAGAGAATGAAATAGAATACATTACACGCTATTTTGACTACTTGTTGCAATGGTTAACCGTTGTTATTGTCTGACAAACGATATATATTATTATATTCTTTCCGTATATAATAAATATATGATTTTATAGAAATAAATATAATCATATTATGATTGTAATATGCCTAACATGACTCATTTAACTATTTACTTGTTTTAATATAATTGCGATATTTGCTAGAGAAGTTTTACTTCTGCCGTGAGTAAATTGCATACACACACTTTTTATTATAAGTATAAGGTATAGATCGATTTCAAGAATTGGCTAAATCCAAGGGTGAGTGTGTAATGGCCGACATATCCCGACCATTGAGTCGTATTGGTCTTATTTTGTATTTCAAATTTAAAACGTCCTATCTGTAAGTTTTTATATACAATTTTCAACTTTATTGCCATTGATATAAATACTATAATACCTTAAAGAAACATGCAATAATATTGATATTCTCTTGGATCGTCCTTTCATTGGTAAAAGTCATAACTCCAAATCTTTATATACAAATCCAAACCTTATTCCATTGACATAAAGCTGAAATTGTAAAAAAACATAAAAACATTACAATTTTTCGACTCGCAGTGCTTAAACTTGATTTTCAAGAACTAAAAATAATATTTGCATTGCAAAAAAACGTCGGGGAAATTTGCTTTTGCAGACGGTCTTTATTACACCGCCTTTTAAAAGGAATAACTAATAATGTAGCATTAAGCTAAGTTATATTCAACAAAGTCTCTTTATTAAACTGCTAAGTGTATTTCTGCATATATATATATATATATATATATATATATATATATATATATGCAGAATATATATATATATATGAATATACATATAGAAAATGTCATATATTTAAATTTGTTCTTATTAGCTTCGCTCATTATGCAGTAACATTTTCAAAGTCGATTTTATGATCATAATAGTTTTATACGAATCTGTACATTAAATATTATTTGAAGAAGAGGCCGAATCTATAGTTTTTTGAATTTTTGTCTGTCTGTCTGTGAACGCATGACGAGAAAACCACTGGACAGTTTTGATGAAATTTAGTATAGTGACTTTTTACTGCGGGAAAATATCTCATCTCTAAGAAATCTACACTAACCATCAAACATGAAAAAAATACATACAGATAAACTTAAAAAGCCCCTTTTACCTTATACATAATTTAACCCAAATCGTTAAAATCGTTTTCGAGATACGCTAAATTTTATATACATATATACAAGAATGGCTCAATATTATAAGACAACACCAAACATGTAAAATCACAGGCAGAAACTAGTGCATAATCTGTGTCATCACAAAACATCCAGTACATGGTAATTACATTTTAAACTTAATTGAAAGTGTTTCATCACGTAATGATGCTATGTTGTAACATATACCCCTACGATAATATGTGTAGTAAAGGTACTTTACTATTCTATAACTACTAACGTAGTGACGATTTAATTTAAAAGTTTGCTTGTTATACTAACCTTTTTCTAGGAAAGCCCGCGGCTTCGCTCGCGCTAAAACTACAAAAATATCTCTTAAAAGATAGGTTTCATAAAAACTTTCATTCGATATTTAACCTCCTTATGGGATGAATTTCGAAAAATGTTAAAACATGTATTTCTTTAATAATATTGAAGAGCATTAATATCAACTTTCAAGTAATTCTGATCATAAATAATATTTTGGGTTGTATTATAACGTGTTGTCCCGTGGGAATGAGATAATCTTCCGCAATAAAAATAAAAGGAGCCCATATCACTCTCCTTACATATTATTCAGCATTATTTTTATTATTTTCAACTTGCTGTGTAATGTATTCTATCTCATTCTTTTGCCGGCTTAATTTATACTAATATTATAAAAAGGTAAAGTTTATAAATTGTGAGTTTGTGACGTTGTAGGGGGGTAATCTCTGGATCTACTAAATGGATTTAGATGAAATTTAGTAATAAGATAGTTTGAGACCCTGAAAAGGACATAGGATACTTTTTATCCCGGAAATCATCCCTTAAGGGGGCGAAAATGGTGATGAAAGTTTGTATGGGGAACCAAGCTAGGGATGAACCCGAGTGAAGCGAGGGTGAGTCGCTAGTCTTATATACTTATGTGTTTGTCTCTTTGTCGTGACGCATTTTCTAAAAAATAGAAATAGAATAAACAAAATATTTTATTTTTTAACAATATTAGATATCGAAAGAAAATGAATAAATAGACAATTTTCAAAGCATAATATACAAGACTTTTGTACTATTTGGTTTTGAACCAAGAAATATTATATATTCAGCCCATTTTACGTCCTACTGCTGGGCACGAGCCTCCATTCAATACAAGGGAGATCAGACCGTAGTCCACCACGCTGGCGAAGTGCCAGTTGACTTGACTACACATGTCTTTCGAAAATTTACTAGATTCTCTCAGACATGCTGGTTTCCTCACGTTGTTTTCCTTCACCATGATGATGATGATGATGTTCTCCCGACTGATTCCGGCCACGGCAGCCAATCTCATTGAGACTAGCCAACTGCGCAGGAGATAACACCTTCACCATAAAGCATATTGGAAATGATTCGCACATGAAATATCAGAGGTGTGAGATCCGGGATCTGAACCCGCTTCACTCAGTTTCCCAAGCAACCGCCACTTGGCTGCCACTGTCTTTTCAAGAAATATTAATGTTTATAAATTAAATACTGTCTGATTTTTAAAAAGTTAACGTCTGACCTCTTGACCTCCACTAGAGCATGTAATACCAGTTACTTCACAATTTAGCAGTAAAGATAAAAAATAAGTACAATTATGAAACTTATACTTAATTTTTATTAATAAATCTTGTAGTAGGGGATTTAAAATGGAGGCTAAGTGAGGAAAAACTTACAGATATTCGATGCAATTAGCTCCTTTTGGAAGTCAAGTTTTTATATAACCCTATTACTAGCTACAATTTTTTTTTTTTTTGAAGTGAAAACTTCTATATCATTTGACGACATGTTTGGCTCAGTTTGTAGTGAGATCGAGTCCCGCTTGGGGATTTATTTGTGTGATGAGCCTGAATGTTTGTACTCCATCATGGTTGTTCATATTTATAGTATGTATGTATTTAAAGTTATATGTGTACCTAGTGTATCAACTATCTGGTATCCATGATTCAAGCCTCGCAGCTTACCATGGAACTAGAAGGTGCTGTGTGTTAATGTCCTAAAATATATTATTATAACATATAGACGGGTTTGGATGGCGACTAAATTCATGTAAATCGTCATCGACATGGTCACGTGACGTGTTAACGTCGTTAAGTTTAACGTTAAGTTTTAATTTACAAATTTTAATTTAAGATCAAACAATTAATTTCAATATCCAAAAATAACAATTGTTTGTCGGCAGTCATGCTTTTTTTATTCTTTCTTTAGTGGCCTAGAACTCTACAACAGACGCAATATATTCTGCCAGTGTCATGTATTGTTAGAAAGACACGAATGAGTTTGAGCAGAAATTACTAATATTTCATGTCTTAGTGATTTTTGGACATTTATTTCATTTGACATTTATTACAAGAAAAAAAAACATTTTATAAAAAAATAATCTGAAAAAGGCAAAACGTTCGTAATGTTTGATGTACTCATTTAAAAAAAAATGCATACGCACCCACATCCTATATAAGGGAATTGGACAGCCCAAATCTAGACATTTATCAAACTATCCAGATTGAAACCATTTACAACCATGGTAAAAAAATCATAAAATGTAAACAGCCCCATCTATGAATATGTAGTATAACCTTATAAGTTATTTCTTAATTACCATTTTTATATCATCGGTAATAACGCAAAGTTGATTTAAGTACGAATTCATTTACCGAAATCGTATTTGACGAGAAGTAAAAACCGGTGAACTCGTCACCTCTGTTTTAAACTGTCAGTTTAAATAAAACTCAAAAATTCTAATATTTCCTATTAATAATACGTTTTGACGCCGTTAACAAGAATTGAATTGCATTGAACTCCTGTGAAGCCTTTCTTCTATAAGGTATAAAACGAAACCTGTTTTATTAATTATCAAATCAAAACTGTTTTGCCTTATTTATATCTTTTAAGTTCTAGCATTTATATATCGTAATCTTTTTTTTTCTTCAAAAAATATACTTTTTTTCTAGTACTAATTAGCTTTATTTATATACGATCACTAGCGGACTGGATTGGTTGACATATCTATCCACAGATAAAAAATTTTATACGGAAAGGAAAAAACTAATCTAGATCTTAACAACAACGCCACCTTTCAAGTTTTTTTTGTATTTATGGGGTCACCTGGATGGTACTTAGCCAGTTATTTAGTCTTTCTGTTTAGTAAGCCTAAATAACAGCCAGGAGTTGGGAAATTGGCGGTGTTCCACCCCCGTGCCTCGGAGAGCATGTTAAGCCGACGGTCCTGCGCCTTAACTCTCACCAGTCGTCGTCGTCAAATCGGAGTATGAGAGTGACAGGAATAGAGAATGCACGTTGTGTCTGCGCGTACACTTGTGCACTATAATATCTCCTGCGCAGATGGCTAGTCTCAATGAGATTGGCTGCCGTGGTCGAAATCAATCGGGAGAACTTTATTATTATTATAACTGTAGCTGGACTCAGTGGTCCATCTACAGCTAAAAACCATCCAGGTGACCCCATAAATATATAAAAAAATCTTCAAAATCGTTCAAGCCCGTTAGGAGGAAATGAATTACGGACACACACACCGGAATTTTGTATATAAAGATGATTCTTGTGTCATCTATATATACTGAATAGCAGCTTGAAAAGTGAATGCCTCAGAATAACTAGCAAAGGAAACTCATAATATAACAAAAACATACATCATAATATATCATTCATAAGTAAGAATTTCCTTATAAAATGTTTATAATTTAAACTCGAATAAGACTAATATATTACGTCTTCAGCCACATTGAGATGTCATTAAATAGAAATACATTTGCAAAGATAGAAACGGCAATGAGTAAAGTATTCTTAGTGCCACAAAGTATACTTATTTTCAATTGAATAAAATGAATTGAGCACTATAGAAGACGTTGCAAAATATAGCATTCAAAGTTCAAACCTACGAATAAATAATAAGTTTATTTATTCAAAGATTCTAACCGTATTTCGTATAGTTCGAGTTTTTTTCCTGAAATATTTTATTGTAGTCTGAGGGAACCTAACAAAATTTGGAAAGACGTGTGATGCCCACGAACTAGCATTTTACCATCGTGATGGATGATAACAGCCTACTTCTAATATTAAAACCCTGCTCGAGACCAACTATGGAACTTTAAAGTGGTTAGATTAATCTTACTAATATTATAAATGTCAAAGCTTAGATGGATGTTTGGATGTTTGTTACTTAATCACGACAGAACAGCTGAACGAATCTGGATAAAATTTGGCACAGAGACAGATTATAGCCTGGAATAGCACATAAGCTATTTTTATCCCGGAAAAATGTACAGTTCATGTGGGATGGATTTGTTTCTGTTTTCCGCTAGTATATTATATACAGAAATATTCCGCCTAATCTATTTTAAATAAACAAACTTGTGTAGCCTATGTCTTATCCCTGGATGAGATCTATGTCCTTGCCAAATTTTATCAAAAATTGTTTAGCCGCTTAAGCGTGAAAAGGACAGAGTTGCTTTCACATTTAAAATTATAATGGCTATGATATTTCTGTCTTCTAAAAGTTTGCATGACAGTATCAGAGAGTGTAAATTATAGTAAAAACTACCTTTAATCCATATCTATATATTAATATTATCAAGAGACAGAGTTTGTTTGAACGGGCTAATATAAAGAACTACTAATCCAATTTGATTTGTTTTGCATTAGATAGCCCGTTTATTGTATAAGGCAGGGTATATATTATCCCGGAAATTTATGGTTCCCGTGGGATAGATATGTTTTTGTCTAGGGACGAATCCAAAGCAAAACGAGGGTATGTTGCAAGTATAAAATAAGGACTAACTAGAATTATACATCTCTACTATAAAGATACGAGTGACTCACCCTCGCTTCGTTCGAGTGCGTCCTTATGTGTCTAACAGTTTCCTACATGTTACTCCAGGACAAGATCTATCTGTTTAATAAATTTCATCTAAATCCGTCCAGCCGTTTCAACGTGAAGGAGTAACAGACAAACACACACACACACTTTCGTATTTATAGTCGTTTTTTTTATATGTAAGACATTATATGTCTAAATCCGCTAAGTCATTAGAAGGTTCATTGACCCAAGTTTATTTCTGATTTAGGTCATCTACTAATTATTATCTAACTGGTTTTGACCAATTAAAGGATTTCATTTGGTGTTTTGGTAATAAATAATAGAATTAATGTTTTAAAAGATTTTATAGGGAAATTTTATGTTTTTAAAAGAAATAGTCTATGAGGTATAACTATACCCTATATACTAGTTGCTATACGCGGCTTCGCTCACCTAGTACATAAAATATAATGCTTGTTGACAGAAAATTGGGGCACTTTGGACATCCAATTAATTTATACTAGCCACTCACTTTAGCTTCGCTCAGTTTCGTCGCTAGGTACGTTTTGACGCTTAGTATGGAATAGATTTTTTTTTTCGTGATTTTTTCGACGTTTTTCTAAAGTTCAGCTGCATACGAGAAGTGAGTTACATGTGCAAATAAACGTATGCATATTACATAATTATTCTTATAGCTTCAATATCATCCCAATGTTGTCATGTCATGTTAAGATATACTCTTACTTTAAAATATATTCATGTTTAACATTAAAGGTGGTGACTGACTGACTCCAAAAATAACTTTATCCAAACTCTAAAAACGATATTATTTCTTAAAACGTATGGGATATACATACATACAAAACCTTGAAGATGGTCAAAAATACAATTTTTCAACTAGCAATATGTTAGATTATACGAGTAATAATAATAATTACACATTAAATATTGCCTTCGATCAACTCAACAAGTAATTCCCGTTACGGCAACAACTTTAAATCCTGACATCATCGATTTTTGTGTAGCAAAAAATATATCATACGACCTTTTTGTTGATTGGGACCGGTTCTCAGTTCACTATCCGACTCACGCGCGCGCGGTCGCAATGCGAGGAAAACTAACGACGTAAACGAAAAACGAACAAAAAATTAAATAAAATACAATTGAAAACTTAAAAAAACATAAATTTTTGAAGATTTTTACGTTTCTGACTCTATTTTTGGTCAAAATCTAGAGCTATTTTAAGCATATGGTTCCAAGGATGTGTTCTTACGTTCTTGAATAAATGTGGTCTTAAAGTGAATGCAGTAAGGTAGAGTGTTGTGTGTGTTGTGCCTAAAATAATTTTTAAAAGGTAAGGCTTTGTTTTAATACTTAGTTTCTGACCGTGCGCATGTTATGCGTTCGTTTTTCATACTCTTGCAAATCCTTTAAAAAATATGTGATCGTATTTAACTTAAATCTCATATATTTTTCTTAAGAACAAACATATTCTAATAAGAAAAATATTTTTATTATAGTAATATTTGTAAGGTTTAAGCTATTAAAAGTCCTGTTATACTAAAATATTGACTTATAGAACCTCATCGTTCTTCATAAACTGTTTGTTAAAAATTGGAATATTTGTATATCGAAATATTCTAGACCAAAATACTATATATAATTACCAACTTTTGCCCTAGGATTTGCTTGTGTATCTATAATATGTTCCTCAAAACTTAATTAACGTGTTTAAATAAACAAAAAATTGTTTCTTATATACATCTTGTAGAATAAATGTAATTTAGCCGGTAAAGATCTCTACTTTATATATTTATTAGAAGATTTGTTCTTATTAATGCTTAAAAAACTTAATTAATTATTCTACATTCATAAAACCAAGAGTAACAATAATTACTTGAAGGTAAAGCAAAAAAGTGGAAGCACTGATGGTAGATTTTCCTTATTGTATTGTTGAACATTTTATTTTAATACATATAACAGATGGACTTGATTACTTTTAGCAGAACAAATCACAATATTTAATTTTATTTTCATAATAACAATCTAAGTATAGTGTAATCTAAGTCTAGACTGGACTGTAGTATAAAACGGACCTTTCATTCCTCGAACCCCATGATATATCGGGATAAAATATAAGCTATGACACTTTTTAGTTCATAAACTACTCGTATAAGCTAAAAATCATGTCAGTCCATAAAAAGACCAAAACTACTAACAATTAGTATACTATAATAAAATTCTAACCGAGTCGAATCTGTTACATTAAATATTTTTTGGAAAATCTATACATAGTTTTTAGAATTTTTGTCTGCCTCATCACGAGAGAACGACTGGATAGAATTTGATGAAATTTTGTATGATGATAGCTGGCTATCCGGGTCAACATATAGGATATATCTCTGAGAAACCTATACTAAGCGTTAAATCGTAACTAGGGACGAACCCGATCGGAACGAGAGTGAGTCGTTAGTAGTATATATAAATAGGATAAGACATAAGAGTACAGTATCTTTTTTTCCTCTGTTTGTCTGATTTTCTTTCTTTTCAATAGCTATTGACAAACTCTACCTTACTTTAAATTTAAAGCACAATTACCGAAAAACAATTAATCTTTGCTACTCGTTATTACTTTATGATAAAAAAATTAAGTTTTTCATCAAAATTATTTCAAATAATATTATTCCATGTTCTTGAGAAAAAACTTTTTTGATAAATATCAAAATGTAATGTAAAATTACACATTAAAAAAGCTATGGTGTAACACAGAGAAACACATACAATCGAATTGAAATCAGTTCCTCAATTTTTGAAAATCGGTCGAATTTAAAAAAAAATGTTCTCAAGAATATAATTTGAGTCATAACACTTAATAATAAAAAGCCAAGGTATTGCAAAACCCGGACAAATCTCAAGATACAGTCATAGATCAATTACATCAGTGTTATGTTAGCTACTTGAAAGTTACCGAAGGCTAAGAAACTGTCCGCTTAACTCTATGGTCGATTCCTACAAACTTGGTTGAACTCTTGGTATCTATACATGTAATAAAATTATAACTAAGCCAAATTTGTAAATTAGATATTTTTTGGAAAAACTTATTGAACTAAATATTATTGTGGATACAGAGGCCGAATCTATATATCTATCTATATATTTTAAAATTTTTGTCTGTCTATCTGTCTGTTACCGCATCACAGAAAAACCACCGGAGGGATTTTGTTATCCGGGTAAACACATAGGATACTATTTACCGCGGGAAAATATCTTATTTTTGAGAAAAAATACATAAACTGCAATGTAAGAGTATACTAAAGTGTAAAACCTTAGAATTTGGTTTTTGGTCATTTGAACGCGAGTGGAGCCGCGGGCAATGCTAATTGTAAAATGTCTTTGTTAACTTTCTTAGATTTACACGTATATTTGACAATTAAAAATAAAACTATTTATTAGGGTTTTTTCGCGTATTTATTTTGGTTTTTGATTCCCGACGTTTCGAATACTTTACATCAATCATGGTCACGGTATTCGAAACTTCGAGAACCAAAAATCTAAATTAAGAAAACCAAAAACATGGTTTTATTTTAAACTAGCGACTTTCCCTCGCTTCGCTCTGGTGCGACTCTAGGTACATTTTATTTTTTTTGAGCGGAACCCTAATCCTTTTTCTAAAATAAAAGTAGCCTAAGTTACTTCTTACATAAAGAAAATAGCCGGAAGTAAATGGCACCTTATAGCTCAGGATAGAGAGAAATGGCAAGCTTTGGAAGAGGCCTTCACCTGAGAGGGGTTCCTGCAATTATAAATATATATGTATGTACTACCTAAAATTAACCTATAAGATTGTAAGCAGGAAATAAAAGGCTTTTTTATTTTTATTTAAGTTACTTCTTATAACATCAGCTATCTGCCAGTTCAATTCTCGTCAAAAACAATCCAGTCATTTCGGAGATTAACCGGAGTTTACAGACGGATAAAATGTTAAAAAATGTTTTTTTCTTATAAGTACCGTATATAATTTCATATGAATTTAGTAAAAAGCTTTTCGATATTACAAACAAACACCTCAAATTTATTTATCGGTATAGATTTGTTAACTAAACGACTTATATTGATTGCGATTTTAATTAAATATACCTTTGAGATATCAAAATATTTCAATGATTTTGGAAAGCTGTTATCTCTTTCAAAACAAAAGTATGTATTTAAACACTATAATTATGTAATAACTTAACTTCTAGTGGCTTACTTTGTATAATGAATTGAAAGTTACTGGTTTGATTACAGTGAGGAGCAATTTTTCTTTTAATTTTCAAACATCATGATTAGTAATATAATAACTATTACTATAATATGATAGTTGTTAAGTTTTTGACTAATAAGTTAAATTTTAAATAGCAACAAAATTAATTATAATCCATCGATCGATACGAAAATGTAGCTTTTTTTAAGATAAATATAACCTACTTTTAATAATACATGATTGAGTGTAAGATTTGCGCATGTCCATGATTAAAGGCCGATAACGCCGCTCTCCTTACGAGTTACACAATATATCTGAAATACGATGTAATATACCTATCTACATACATATAAAAATTGATGATTCATTTTTAATTAAAAAAAAAGATGTATGTATGTACGTCCCCTATGAACTCCAAAACGACTGGAGCGATTTTGATGAAACTTTCAGGCATGTTCATATTAGCCCTGCGAGTGATCCTGTGAATTTTGATAGCTTTCGGAAGCTTAGACGCGGACAAAGTCGCGGGTACTGCTAATATTAAATTTATTTAGAGTTAAACAAAACAAAAAGGACGCAAAAAAATCTTATTTTTCTTACATCTCATGCGTCATGTAGCTTAGTATAATGTTAATAATATGAATAATTACATATGCTTTAAATCAACGTCTGTTAGTTTTATTGAAATTAGAATTTTAAAGTATAATTTGAAAAAAACATGAAGTTGTCAATAATAAAGATACGTACACATAGATGATCTATACATATAATAAAATTGTACGAAAGTCGAATCTGTAGGTACATTAAATATTTTTTTGGAAAATCTTATTGAAATAGTCATTATTATCGATATAGAGGCCGAATCTATAATTTTTGGAAATTTTGTCTGTCTGGGAACGTATCACAAGAAAATCACTGGACAGATTTTACTGAAATTTGGTATTATTATAGCTGGGTTATCTTGGTCAACATAAAGGATACTTTTTACTGCGAGAAAATATCTCATCTCTGAGAAATCTATACTAAACGTTAAAACGTAACTAGGGAAGCACCCAGAGCGGAGCGAGAGAGATTCGCTATTCTATATATAAATAGACAAAGACAAAATAGTTATTGTACCGTCGACTTGCCCTCACATTAATCAATAATGATGAAAACTACATTTTAAGTTATGTAAAGCTCGATGTACCTAAGTTTTAACTTAAAAAATATTTTTTGTGGTTTAGTTTTATGAGCTTTTGTAACAATTGAAGCTTTTTTGAAATAATAGCATAAAATATGAATTTTACTTATGGGCATTATTTTGTGAAATTTTATGAAATTTTATGAAATGAGGCAATTCGAAAAAAGTGAAATGTATTACGTAAATTGTTTTAATATAAAAACGAATGGTCAATTAATCACTCATTGACCAAAGGAGATATCTCAAAACTACTACTTTATAATAAAGCTAAAATTTTGTAAGCCATTTGTTTACATATATCGATCAAAATATACCAAAAATGGTCTCAGAAACCCGCGACAAATAATACATATACTCGTAGTAGACGTTAGCTAGGAAAGATTTTTTATGATATCCTAAGTTTATAATAAATTCCAATATTTTGTCTGTTAGTAACATCAAATATTCTGCTTATATTTAAGTCAACAAGGTAGAGATGCGGGCGAGGGTATAACTATATAAGATTAATATTATTACGCTTTTATTTCTGACCAACGACTCACCCTCGCGTCGCTCGCAGTCGTCTTTAGGTACGTTTTGACGCTTAGTATGTAATAGATATAAAGGTATGATAAGTTTTATATCCTCTACTTGAAAAATGATTATTTCCTCATACCAACTTCCACCCTCTTTTTCACCCGCTTAAGGAATGATTTCCGGGATAAAAACTATCCATGCCCTTCCCAGGGACTCAAACTATCTCCATACCAAATTTTATCTAAATTGGTTGAGCGGATTAAGCGTGAAAAGATAACAGACAGACAGACGGATAGACAGACTTAGTTACTTTCATATTTATAATATTAGTATGGCTTATTGTGACTTCATCAATGTTTCATGTCGAGCCAGTTGAGTTCCGTCTGTGACGTCACCACGTGGGTCGTCTGTG